TTGACATGGTTGTCGCAGCATTTTAGCTGCGTTCATAAGCCACCATAAAGTGTACACTTTCAGTTCTATAGGTGATTATAGTATCCCAAAAAGTGTAAAGTGTGCTCACTCAGTACTAAGGATTAGAACTTCATCTGTCGCATGTCTAGTTCATGGCTGGGATAATATTAAAAGGTTTAGGGTTTAGGGTTTAGGGTTTAGGGTTTAGGGGGTTCAGATTCATTCTTGGGTTTAAGTACCCTTAAGAATGTAATAAAATGGTACCCAACCATGACAAAGATGTCAGCAAGGGCTTTGGGAGACCTTGTCTGCTGCCTTGTGAACGGGCGGATGCGGAAGATAGGTCGACGAGCTGCACCCCTCTGGCAGCGTAGGGTTTAGGGTTTAGGGTTTAGGGGTTTAGGGGTTTAGGGGTTTAGGGGTTTAGGGGTTTAGGGGTTTAGGGTTTAGGGTTTAGGGTTTACGGTTTAGGGTTTAGGGAACTTCTCGCCATGCCGGATTGGAAAGGTTTCGGGATGAGGGCAGTCGAGTGCTGGGGTGCGCGGGAGCGCCCTAAACCCTAAACCCTAAACCCTAAACCCTAAACCCTAAACCCTAAACCCTAAACCCTAAACCCTAAACCCTAAACCCTAACCCTAAACGGAGTTTTCTCTACATTATGGCCCCCTTTGGGGGCCTTCTTATAAGACGGCCCCGCTTATTGACCATGATTTAGAGAACTGACCATATGGAGGTATTTTTCATGATATGGGGATTTACAAAACTAGGAACCCCAAAATAGACCCCAGAATAGTAGGTCGCCTGAAAATACAGACCCCAATAAGGTACCCCTTATGCCGGAAACCCCCATATGTTAAACTTACTGTAAAGAACGCATAACAAAGATGACATTGCAGATTCGCTGTTGTTTGACGAGTCACATATGAGTTTAGACTTACCTAGATAAAGCTATAAAGAAACCCTGAATATTACTTAGCAGTATACTTTTGCACAATTCTGTGACGATTCGTATTTGTATTCTGTAATATACATTCCTGCGCCTAACAGGCTTTCAGGACGAAGTGCAGATGAAGAGGGCAACGCCAGCCATAAGGGGGTTTAGGGTTGCTCTTGAAACAAACCCTAAACCCTAAACCCTGAACCCTGAACCCTGAACCCTAAACCCTAAACCCTAAACCCCAAACCCTAAACCCTAAACCCTAAACCCTACTTCACGCTCTGTGTGCTTTTTTTTCTGGGAGCTTCTACACCCCCAACCCTGAACCCTAAGACCCCTCAAGAGGAGTGAAGGGCCCACGAAGGTGAGTCAACGGACTAAGGAGGAACCCTAAACCCTAAACCCTAAACCCTAACCCTAAACCCTAAACCCTAAACCCTGATAGTTAGGGTTCTTTAGGGGCTTCTTAGGTATCGGGACTAGAAAAGGTATATAGGGGTTATATGGGGTAGAAGAGCTTCCGAAGGAAGGGTTTGGGGAACTGAGACCTTGGGGGTTTAGGGTTTAGAATTTAGGGTTTAGGGCTAGGGTTTAGGGTTTAGGGTTTAGGGTTTAGGGTTTAGGGTTTAGGGTTTAGGGTTTAGGGTTTAGGGTTTAGGGTTTAGGGTTTAGTGTTTATGGTTTAGGGTTTAGGGTTTAGGGTTTAGGGTTTAGGGTTTAGGGTTTAGGGTTTAGGGTTTAGGGTTTAGGGTTTAGGGTTTAGGGTTTAGGGTTTATAGGAATGCGGGAATTTCAGGCTTGGGGTCATCCGTTTGGGTGGCCGCCTGGGTGGAGGAACTTCTTTGCAGACCTCGCCCGATTCTTCGAGTCGAGGCTTTAGGGGAGTGGGGTGGACATGTTCACTTACGCTAACCCTAAACCCAAACCCTAAACCCTAAACCCCAAACCCTCCTTAGGGTCCCAAGAGCATTGACCCTGAACTTAAGGGCCCGGGGTTCAACTTAGGCTTGGGCGCTTGACACGAGCAAAAATCGGGAATTCCTAGACCCCTCCTGCCCCTGAGGTCTACAACGCCCCGAACCGGCGTGGCTCAAAACTACGTTGGGTTGTTTTGGGTTTCGGGCTTAGGGGGTTTAGGATCTCGGGCTTCGGGTCTAGGGTTTAGGGCTTAGGGTTTAGGATTTAGGGTTCAGGGTTTGGCGTTTAGGGCTTAGGGTTGATAGTTCGGTTCGGGGGGGGGGGGGGGGGGTGAAGGGATTACGGACGCCCATTGACAAGCCCAAAGTAGCTCATGGGCTCTCCGAGTCGGCGGTAAGGGTTTTGAGGTTTTAGGGTCTTAGGGTTTAGAGTTTCGGGTTTAGGGTTTGGGGTTTAGGGTTTTAGGGTTTAGGACATTAGGGTTTAGGGCTTAGGGTTTTAGTGTTTGGGGGGTTTGGGGTTTAGGGCGTTTTAGGTTTCAGGGTGGGGACTTGATGATCTAGGGAAGCTCATTCTCGAGAAAGCAACGCTCTATGACTGAGCTACAACTTCTTCTGAACCCTAAAGTCTAAACCCTACGCCGCTATATGCCCAACCACCTTTTCAAACCGAATCTCCACAGGAAGGACGTAACACCCTGAACCCTAAAATATGTTGCGATAGGGGGTTTCCCGATATGGCGTCGCGATGAGAATCAGGATTATGCTGTGTTTCTTGTGTTGGGAAAGAACGGGCACACAATTTGGGAAGCCCTATTATAAACCCTAAGCCTAATTTAACCCCAAACCCTAAGCCCTAAACCCTAACCCTAAATGAACCCTAAACCCTAAACTCTAAACCCCAAACCCTAAACCCCAAACCCTGCCCTAAACCCCAAACCCTAAACCCTAAACCCTAAACTCTATAAACCCCAAACTCTTAGCCAGGAGGCTTGGGTGCAGATGCTGGCCTCAGGCAGGACCAGAGGCCTCGGAAGTTCGCTGCTCGTCTGCGTGTAAAGGGTTTAGGGTTTAGGGTTTAGGGTTTAGGGTTTAGGGATGTGTTTGCTTCTTGTTTGTTCGGGTCTAGGGTCTACGGTTTATACAGGGGCTTGAAGCCCGAAAGCCTAATGCCTCAAGCCTAAACCCTAGAGTGTCTTTTGGGATTCAGTGCTTTTAGGGATTCAGGGTCTATTCTGGATTTAGGGGTCTAGGGCAGTCTCCAGCCTAAACCAGGAACTACAACGCCAGAAGGGCCTGAGCCCTAAACCCTAAAAGCCCCTCAACCCTAATTTCCTAAAAATCCCAAAGCCCTAAAACCTTAAACCCTAAACCCTAAACCCTAAAGCCCTAACACCCTAAACCCTAAACCCTCCTGCACAGTTGAGGCCTGTAGGACCTGACAAAGAGGGCCGGCGCCCGGAAGTTGAAAAGTCCGTGGTCTCTCGCCCAAAGGTGACTTTGAGAGGTTTGGGGTTTAGGGTGTAGGGTTTGGGGTTTGGGGTTTAGGGGTTGGGGTTTCGGGTTTAGGGTGTGGGGTTTAGGGTTTAGGGTTTAGGGTTTGGGGTTTGGGGTTTAGGGCTAGGGTTTAGGGTTTAGAGTTTGGGGTTTCTGGCTTAGGCGTGTTGAGGCTACAGGGTTCGGGGCTCCATCGCAGGTAGTCTTTTGTTACCGGCAAGAGCCGTGCGAAATCTATAGCCAGTCCCGGGGGCGGGGTGAACCTTGGTTTAACCGGTCCGACAGGGGGATTTCGGTTTAGGGTCTCTGGGATAGCCCTAAACCCTCAACCCTTCTTGGAGGTTTGTAAGGTTTTTGGGGTGCCCAAACCCTAAACCCTAAACCCTAAACCCTAAACCCTCTTGGGGGTGACGTGTTGGTGTTTGTTAGGGGTGACCCATGCACGGAGCGGTCATGTCGTTGCAATCAGGGTTTAGGGTGTAGGGCTTAGGGTTAAGGGTTAGGGTTTAGGGTTTCGGGTTAAGGTTTTAGGGTTGAGGGTTTAGGGTGTAGGGTTGAGGACAGGCCGTTGCTCTTGACACCGAGAACATGACAATGATGGACACCTCCTTGTACACCCTACGCCCCCTACACCCTAAAACCTAAAGCCCAAACCCTTCAGCTTAACGCTAAAGACACCATAGCACCATGCCGAAGCCAAATCAAAGGTTCAGAAAACCATCCTTACACCCTAGAGTAAGGGTTTGGTGGTTGGCTCATGTTGGCTCTATGAACCCTAAACCCGACTGTAAACACCCTAAACCTTGCAATATACCCTGAATACCACCTCCAGGGTGGGGCCCCCTAGTTATAAGTAGAGTTACAAGGGCCCTAAATTGGGTTATAAGGATCCTAAGTTAGGGCATAAGTCTCTTCACTACAGTTAGTATAGTAAGGGGGCCCCACCCTGTACAACCATCTACACTCGAAATCCCTTCTCGGCTCAGGAAGGTTGGCACCTGCGAGCAGGCGGGCGAACCTACAGGGCCTCACTCAGGACTTCAGGGGGTTTTGATGGGCATAGAGCAAGCCCGAGGCTCCTCCTTGGGGGTTTAGGGTTTAGGGTTTAGGGTTTAGGGTTCATTCTACAACCGTAGCCCCACCCTGACTTCCCCGAAGGTTCCTAGGTTGGGAATCGGACAGGGGTGAGCGGTCTATGGGGATAGGGAATCGGGATAGGGGGGCGAAAGGGCTTAGGAGGGTGGGTTGCGTCGTTTAGGGTTTAGGGTATAGGGTTTAGGGTTTAGGGTTTAGGGACTCTAACTCCTGAAATGCCCCAGGCCCCGAAAACAACTTTCATCAGCCATCAATGCACCCTAAGCCCTAAGCCCTAAGCCGTAAGCCCTAAACCCTCAACCCTAAACCCTAAACCCTTAACCCATGCCCTGACGTGGAGCACCTAGAACCCGAAGCCCCAAACCCGAAACCCTAAACCCGAGTACCTTGACCCAAAAGATCCGAAAGAAGACCCTAAACCCTAAACCCTAAACCCTAAACCCTGAACCCTGAACCCTGAACCCTAAACCCTGTACCCTAAACCCTAAACCCTAAACCCTAAACCCTAAACCTTACCCCGAAACTAGCCCCAAGCCCGCCTTGAGACGAAGCTCTCAGAAGGTCGTGGCTGGGCCCTCGAAGGTCGAACTCTCGAAGACGGATTGCGCTTGGGAGCGGAAAGCCTCGAGCACCAGGGGAACCCGACATGTTCTCTTGTAGTTGGGGTTTAGGGTTTAGGGTTTCGGGTTTAGGGTTTAGGGTTAAGGGTTAAGGGCTTAGGGTTCGGGTTTAGGGTTCAGGGTTTAGGGTTTAGGCTTTACGGCTTGGGGTTTGCTTGAAGGCATTTTTGGAAAACATGACCGCATGGGGACACAAAGTCTGAACACGTATAAGCCCTTCGGAACTCTTACAAACAACTACGAGCCCTTCTACCCTTAACAACAGCTCCTTCTGAATCCCTGAGAAATGACCCTAGGCCCTGAGCCCTAAGCCCGAAGTAGGCCCTATACCTTGAGAACCCAAAACCACTTTTCTGAAAGTTCTTAAGAATCGATCCCCTCATAGGGTTTGTAGGGTTGCAAATAAAGTAGGTATACCCTAAACCCTAAACCCTAAACCCTAAACCCCAAACCCCAAACCCTAAACCCTAAACCCTAAAAAAAACCCTTAAAGGGACCCAGGGGGCGAGGTTTCGGAGTTCCGTGGTCGCCGGGTCGGAGCTGCGACGTGTTGTAGAAGGCGCCAGGAGGCTGCTAATCAGCCTCGGATGATTTTTTTGGGGGGGAAGGTTTAGGGTTTAGGGTTTAGGGTTTAGGGCTTTGGGTTTAGGGTTTGAGGCGGGGAGGGGGGGGGGGGGGGGGGGGGGGGGGCTTTGTGTGGTTTAGGGTATGTGGGTGTGAGGGCTAGGTGGCCTGTTCGGGTCTTAAGCCGCTGGGTCTCCCAGGTGTCAAGAACCCGCAAGTTGCCTTACTCCCCTACCAACCCACAAGGGTTTAGGGTTTAGGGTTTAGGGATGTTCCCCCCTATACCAACAGTCCTTAGAGGGATCATGATAAAAAGTACTAAAGTCTCTATTAAGGACTTTCAGCCAAAGGGTGAACATCCCAACCTAAACCCACTAAAACATGTACGAAACGAACCCAACAAAAAATCGTCAACAAAAAAAGAGCCCAAACCCTACAAGCCAAACAAAAACATACACGAATCCTGAGCGGCCCAACCACCACCCTAAACCCCAAACCCCAAACCCCAAACCCTAAACCCTAAACCCTAAACCCCCCCTCCCCCCCCTCCCCCCCCCCCAAAAAAAAGGGGGGGGGGGGGGGCTGCGGCCGCAGCGGCACAGCCAAGATGGGGCCTATGGAGGCGCAGCTTAGGAGGCCGAAGCCCTCTGAAGCCGTCGACTCCTTTGGGGTTTAGGGTTTAGGGTTTGGGGTTTAGGGTTTAGGGTTTGGGGTTTAGGGTTTGGGGTTTAGGGTTTGGGGTTTGGGGTTTCGGGTTTCGGGTTTGGGGTTTGGGGTTTGGGGCTTGGGGTTTGGGGTTTGGGGTTTGGTTAGGGTTTAGGATTTAGGGTTTATAGGGTTTACAGGGTTTAGGGGTTGTCGGGCTTCGGTGTGGAAGATGTTGGGCTCTTGTTGGCCCTTCTTGTGGTGGCCGAAACTGCAAGAAAGGTGGGATGTACATCTACACGATAAAAAGGGACTCCCGCAATCTTCAGCAACCGCCACGGTGTCCTCTTTGGGTTTCGGGTTTCGGAGGCAGAGCTAACAGGGTTTAGGTTTTAGGGTTGAACCCTAAACCCCGAACCCAAAACGTGAGCCAGAACTCTTACCCTTGGGAAGCCATTCGCTGACGCCTTGCCCAGCGCCAAGCCAGCAGCTAAGACGATAGGCACCTATTCATTGGTTTAGGGTTTAGGGTTTAGGGTTTGGGGTTTGGGGTTTGGGGTTTGGGGTTTGGGGTTTGGGGCTTGGGGCTTGGGGCTTGGGATGTAGGCCGTGGGGTTTAGGGTCCCCCCCTAGTACCCTAATCGCGTTACAATGGGTTATAAGTACAGCGTAATTGGGTTACAAAGTACCCTGAACCTCCCAGCAGGCATTGGAGTGAGGGCTTCAGCTAAACCCTAAACCCTAAACCCTAAACCCTAAACCCTAAACCCTAAAACCTAGGCAGACGCAGGGGCCGCTCTGTTCAAGGCGCCAGGGGTGTGGGGAATCAGGTAGCTCACTGAAGTGGGGTCCCCCTTGGGGATTTAGGGTTTAGGGTTTAGGGTTTGGGGTTCTTACAAGGGTGCCGTACTATTTAGGGGACCCAAAAACAAGTTAAAGGAACTACCCAAGTACAGGTCTTGGGTTCAGGGTTTCACATTAGCAGCCTAGCGCCTTGCAAGAAAAAATAAACGTGCCTAGGGTAAACCGGGGTGGTCTTGGAACCCCCTTTTGAGCAAACTTTTTCTTTGCTACCTTCTTTGTTTTCAAAGTTTAGGGTTTTGCACCCTAAGCCCTAAACCCTAAACCCTAAACCCTAAACCCTAAGAATCTTAAGGCCTCATGGGTCCTTAAGGAAAAGATTCGCATCGGTTTCGCATCCCAGCCCGGTGCCACCCCGACGCAGTTTACCAAAAAAAACACCCCTGCAAAGAATTTACGGCTTCCTAAACCCTAAACCCTAAACCCTAGACCCTAAACCCTAAACCCTAAACCCTCAACCCTAACCCTAAACCCTAAACCCTGGGGTTTAGGGTTTAGGAAGTTTAGGATGGGTTAGGTTTAGGAAGTTTAGGGTTTTAGGGTCTTCGAAGTTTGGGGTGGCATGAAGTCTGCTTAGAGGTGCACTGGTGGGTTTAGGGTTTCGGGTTTAGGGTTTAGGGTCTAATTATCAAATCGACTTATAGCCTACTTCGGGGACTTAGGGGGGGGGGGTTTATAAGTACAGATATAATTGGGTTTAGGGTTTAGGGTTTAGGGTTTAGGGTTTAGGGTTTATGAAAATATAGAAAGTAACATCCGAGGAATAACGTGGAAGATCTCTTAGATAATGGAAAGGTACAGAGCACTTTCTCGAATGTTCGTGGGATCCAAACATTCGTCAGAACCCCGGATTGCACATACATTCCCATGCCGTCGACTTGGGTTCGTCATGTCTGCTGTGGGTATGTGTGTGTGTTCTGAGGACAGGACCCAAGCCATTTTAACTCCACAACCCCCCTACTAAGAAGCAACGAGGTGTCAGGCGCCCCAGGACTACCCAGCTCACCAGTGCGTATGAGGTATGCGTTCCACCTGAGGGAAAGTTGCGACTGAATGGTACTCGGGAAACGTATGCGTAGAGCAAAGGGCCCCCAAACAGGGATCCTAATTTAGAGAACAACCTATTTTGCTGCCTAAACCCTGGCCTTGCTAGCTCAGCGTTTGACAGATGTCTGCCTTAAAAATACGCGAGGAGAAACACAGTAGGGAGCTTGGAAACTGCACCCCAACCAAGCAGTCGAAGTGGCCGCCGGAGGTCAAGGACTGTAGGCTGCAGGGAAGCTGCACCCCATCCAAGCTCTGGTTGTAGTTCTTGCAGAAGGTCAAGGTGTGTAGGCCGCTGGGAAACTGCACACCTTTCAAGCTCTGGTTGAAGTTGACACCGAAGGTCAAGATTTGTAGGCCGGTGGGAAACCGCACCCCTTCCAGGCTCTGGGTGAAACAATTGCCGATGGTCAAGGTCTGGAGGCCGCTGGGAAGCTGCACCCCTTGCAAGCTCTGGCTGAAACAGTGGCCGAAGGTCAAGGTCTGTAGGCCGCTGGCAAGCTGCACCTCTTCCAGGCTCTGGTTGAAGTTCTCACCGAATGTCAAGGTCTGTAGGCCGCTGGGAAGCTGCACCCCTTCTAGGCTCTGGTTGAAATCACAGCCGAAGGCCAAGGCAACAAGGACATCCATGGCATCCGTGTCTTGATTAAATCCTGTCTTTGATAGCGATCGCTTTATGCAGCGTGCGGCGCAGCCTGCACCATATTTCCGCACCACGTATGTGAGTTCTTGGTTTTGAGTTTGTTGCAGCAGCGGCTGGAGCAGTTCGAGGACACGCCCACCGGACGTCAGCACGATTGACGCAGCTGAAAGGCCAACACTTTCTGCGACGCGTCTCCGGACGGAAACGGGGCTGGATCCGTATCGTGCACATGGAGCTCAAACGTGGAGCCGGCAAGACAGCGGATGGTCAACGGCGCGGCATGCTGGCGCTTCGGCACCGGCGAAGAAAGGCGCAAAAAAAAAATGGAAATTTCAGTTCACTTAGTTATTCTTGACCGGGTAGTCGAGAATTAAAGAACTATCTATAGGTATACCTCCCCAGGGGAGCAGATAACTCCCTAATCTTTGTGCAGTGACTTGAGAAAAGCAAGCTGTTCCTGTTTGGCTTCGGATACGTTACGGGGGTTTTGCCGGGCTAGGGCCACCCTAAACCCCAAACCCTAAACCTTAAGCTTGTGGTTCAAGGGCTGGGCGCCGCCCCAACTGCAAGGATCCCCTGATTTGTCACTCGCTCGAACCCTTTTGTGGGTTTAGGGTTTAGGGTTTGGGTGGTTTGGGCGGTTTAGGCGGTTTAGGCGGTGTAGGGTTTAGGGTTTAGGGCTTAGGGTTCAGCATCTCGTGTACAAGCTTTCAGAAACCCCGTGAGCCAGAGCCATGCCCCATGCCTCCCCTCCGCAATGCCGGGCCAGTGCCCGACCCCCCTCTCTGACCTCCTATACCCGGTGACCCCGACCCTCCCGACCCAACCAACTGCTGACGCTTACTGACTGCGACCCCCCTAGTCAGCTGACTCCTTGGTTTTTGCAGTTTTGGAATTAAATCCCTGAAGCAGGTCTAGGACCCCCCTGGAAGCCCCCTTTTGAATCCCTGGACTTTCCTAAATTTAGTAGAGGTCGGGGAGTGATTTGGGGCTTGGGGTTCGAGGGTTAGGGCTTTCGGGGGGTTACGGCCCCCCAGGGTGAACACCCTGGCTAGCTTCTTTTCCGGTAGGGAGTAGTAATTAGGGTGGCCTGGGGGAGGGGTGGGGCAGTAAAGGATTCCATGAAGAGAGCCTCTCGCGTGCTCAGCACTGCAGGTTTTAGGAGGCTAAATTTTCGTTTTAGGCTGCGGGCGATTTGAGCAGACGGTTTGGTCTCCTGAATGCCCAAACCAAAACCAAGCCCACACACCCAAACTCTAAATCCCGAAAATCCCTAAACAAACCCTAAACCCTAAACCCTAAACCCTAAACCCTAAACCCTAAACCCTAAACCCTAATCCCTAAACCAAAAGACCAAACATCCCAGAACCCGAAGCCTAAGCCCCTAAACTCTAAACCCGTAAACCCCAAAGCCTAAACCCCTAGACCCTAAACCCCTAAACCCCTAAACCCTAAACCCTATATCCCTAAACCCTACTTGGAGGCTCATGGGTACTTATAACCACAATAATAAGTCTACTTATAACCCACTTACGGGACTTAGGGGGCTTATAAGTACAGTTTTCTTGTGGTTAGAAGTACGCCTGAACCTCCAAGTATATCCCTAAAGCCCCAAACCCTAAACCTTAACCCTACACCCTAAACCCCATGTCCCTCATAAGGGTTGCTGGTCTCTTTGAGTAGGGCTTCTGTTTTATGGGGCATGTATTCGGGGTCTCTGATTTAGGGTAACAGATAAAGAGGCCAGCGGCCTTTGCAATATATCCCTAAACCCTATACCCCAAAACCCTATATCCCTAAACCCTACATCCCTAAAACCCCAAAGCCCTCACCCTAAACCCGAAACCCTAAACCCTAAACCCCAAACCCTAAGCCCTCCCTCAAAACGCAACCAGGAGGCCGTCACAGGACCAGTCGTCACCCCGGCAGAATCCCAGGCGATGCAGACGATCACCTGTGGGGACGGAAGAAAGTAGGGTTTGGGGTTTCGGCTTTAGGCTTTAGGGTTAGGGTGTAGGGTTTAGGGTTTAGGGTCCAGGGTTCAGGATAAAATTAAACCCGAAACAAGCTCTAAACTTCAAATCCTAAACCCCAAACCCTAAACCCTGAAACGCAAACCCTAAACCGCCCTATCTCTGTTCCCCCTGAACCCTGAACCCCAGCCCCTCAACCTAAACGTATAGGGCTTGGGGTAAAGCCTAAACCCTAAACCCTAAACCCTAAACCCTAAAACCCCCCTATATAAACCCTAAACCCCCAGGGCTTCATTCAGGGCTTCAAGTAGATGGCTCCGGGCACCTCATCTGCCAGAAAAGTCAGCACAAGGCACAGCAGATAGCCCACGAGCAGGATCCTGGGCGTCTGAGGGCTGTTTGGTAGGGTTTAGGGTTTAGGGTTTAGGGTTTAGGGTTAAGGGTTTAGGGTTCAGGGTTTAGGGTTTAGGGTTCAGGGTGTGGGGTTTAGGGTTTAGGGTTTAGGGTTTAGGGTTTAGGGTTTAGGGTTTAGGGTGGAGGGTTTTAGGGTTTTGTTTAGGACTTCAGGGATTTAGGGTTTAGGGTTTAGGGTTTAGGGTTTAGGGTTTAGGGTTTAGGGGTTAGGTTAACCCCCAGGAACCCCAGGAGCGATAAAGGGAACCCTTTCTGCTCAAGGCTTGTGAGGAGCACTAAGGCCTGCACCCTAAACTACTATTTGCTTAAGAAGCACAAAAAAATCACAGGGATTATCGTACTCCCTACTATAATCCCTACTAAGGACTGTTACTATAAGGGGGAACGTCCCAACCTAAACCCCTCAACCCCCAACCCTGAAACCCGATGCCCTGACGAACAACAAGTACCACCGAGGAACCAAGGATCATGAACCCTAGACCCCTCAACCCCAAACCCTAAAACACCTAAACCCCTAAACCCCTAAACCCCTGAACCCTGAACCCTGAACCCTGAACCCTGCACCCTGCACCCTAAACCCTAAACCCTAAACCCTAAACTCCAAACCCTAAACCGGGGAACCAAGGAACATGAAGAGTGGTAGGTCAAAGTACACTTTGGCCATGCCTGGCAGACAAACGCCGGTGCTGCCCTGTGGGATGAGGTGGGGTTTAGGGTTTAGGGTTTAGGGTTTAGGGTTTAGGGTTTAGGGTTTAGGGTTTAGGGGTTTTTTTGAGTTTGGGATGTAGGGTATGGGGTCTGTCGGACTTCTGGGCCTCTAGAGCTGAAGATCTATCTATAGCTCAGAAGACCTGGAGGGCTTAGGCAGGCTTTAGCAACCTCAAACCCTCCGAACTCGCAAACCCTAAACCCTCAACCCTCCAACTCCCCAAACCCCAAAACCCTAAACCCTAAACCCCAAGCCCTAAACCCTAGCCCTAAACCCTAAACCCTGAACCTTTAAAACCCAAGGAGCCTAGGGAGATGCCAAAGCCAACGCCAAGAGCCACCGAGAGGACCAGCTTCCTTGGATCCACTTAAAGACCCCTTGGGGGGAGGATCGAGTGAGGGTTTAGGGGTTTAGGGTTTAGGGCTAGGGTTTAGGGTTTAGGGATAAGGGTTGAGGGTTTAGGGTTTCGGGTTTAGGGTTGGGGAGTTTAGGGTTTGGGGCAGCAGCACGCCCATGCGTCTGCAACAACCATCTTTCCAGCCCTAAACCCTAAACCCTAAACCCTAAACCCTAAAACCTAAAGGAACAAAGGCAAAGGCCAGGGAGCTCTTTCGAGTAGGCGCCTCGGCTCAGCTGCTCAACCTTGACGAAAGAAGGTCAGCAACCAAAGCTGAGAGGGTTTAGGGTTTAGGGTTTAGGGTTTAGGGTTTAGGGTTTAGGGTTTAGGGTTTAGGGTTTGAGGTTAGGCCTTGCGGCTGAGGGCAAGTTGAGAAGACGAGGATACCAGCTGGATTCTTGCGGTTGTGGGTTTAGGGTTTAGGGTTTAGGGTTTAGGGTTTAGGGTTTAGGGTTTAGGGTTTAGGGTTTAGAGCTTTAGGGTTTAGGGTTTAGGGTGTCAGCAGCTTGGCTTTTACACCCTTGTTGGAAGAAAAGGCGGTGTCATCATCGTGACTTTTGACCTTACTGCAACTACAGGAAACCATATCATCTCTAATTCAGTGAACATTGCTAAGTAGCGTTTCGCGCCTCAATCAACGCATCGAGTCACACTCTTCCCACGGCACAGGGATTTCTCCCAAACGTGATTTTCCCTGTGCCCCCTAAACCCTAAACCCTAAACCCTAAACCCTAAACCCTAAACCCTAAACCCTAAACCCTAAACCCTAAACCCTGTATGAAGTCCATCAGACAGGAGACTTTGTTAGACCTGCGAAGTCTGATCTCGAACCGCTCGCGGAACCTTCCGCCCAAGTTGGAAGCCTGAACCTAAACTCTGGTGTTCCGTTAGGGTTTAGGTTTAGGGTTCAAAATGTACCAGGCACTGCCTAAAAACCGTCAGACACAAAATCCTAATCCCCCCCCCCCCCCCCCCCCCCCCCCCCCCCCCCCCCCCCCCCCCCCCCCCCCGGCCACCCCCCTGCTCAAGCTCCTCCAAGAGTTTAGGCACGCTTTGGGCTGGACATGCCACAATTGTCAAGACCTCCCTAAACCCCGAAACCCAAAACCGTGCACCCACGAACCCCTGAACCCTAAAGCCCTAAACCCCCTAAGGCCCTAAACCCTTAACCCTCAACGCCGAGCTGCCGTCTTGCCCAGTGCAGCAAGGGCAGGCTCCTTTGGGGTTTAGGGTTTAGGGCTTGCTGGATTGTGGCGCAGAAGCTGTGAAGGTTGGGACACAGAAGAGATTCCCGAAAGCTTCGTCAGGTGCGAAGAGCAGGTGCGATTGTTGAGGGCCATCTAACATTTTCATCCCACCCTACACTGAGCCAACAGAACCACCCTAGACTGCTGTCTTCCTTTCAGGGTTTAGGCTTAAACTCTATTATTGTCAAGCCGGGCACTAGGGCTGATATGGGTTCTGCGCTCCGTAGGGCTTTGGAGGTAAATCTTGAGGGAGGGGGGGGGGGGGGGAGTGGCGGGGATTCACACCCAACCGCACGTCCTAGCATGACACCCCGAACCCCCCCAAACCCTGAACCCTGAACCCTGAACCCGAAACAACCCTCAACCCTGGGACCACAAACCACAACCCCTGAACCCTAGCAGCCCCCAAACCTATACTCTGAACCCAGAGGGCCCTAAACCCTAAACCCTAGGAACCCACGCTCGCCCCCCCCCCAAACCCTCAAACCCCTCAACCCTACACCGTAAACCCTGAACCCTACGACCCTGAACCCCTAAACCCTAAACCCTAGGCCCTAAACCCTAAACCCCTTAACCCGGCGGCAAGGCGCCGAAAAGGTGGCCAGCAATCCGGCAAGGAAGCCGAAGCCCAGGAGAACCAGCGATCCCCAGGTTTGTCCTTCCGCTTCTTTCTGTTTTGGGTTTAAGGTTTAGGGTTTAGCGTTCAGGGTTTAGGGTTTCGGGTCTTGGGTTTAGGGTTTAGGGCTTCGGGCTTCGGGCTTCGGGCTTAGGGTTTTGGGTTTAGGGATCGAACTCTCTCGACCCCACCTCGGCTCTCCCCCTTCTCAATCCCTGACTTGCTTGTTTAGCGTGAATAGGAGTGTAGGGTTTAGGGTTTAGGGTTTAGGGTTTAGGGTTTAGGGTTTAGGGTTTTGGGTTTAGGGTTTAGGGTTTAGTGATCTGAAGTATGGGCCCTTAATCTGGGCCCCCTGTTACTGAACCCTTACATACACACTACATAACAAGGGCCCATACTTCGGATCCCTTACTCAATCCCTTTCAACAAGGGTATAAGGGACCATAAGTATAACTGCACTTATAAGCCCCCTAAGTCCCCTAAGTAGGTTATAAGTACATGTATATTTGTGGCTATAACCCTAAACCCTACACCCTTGTGGAACCTGCAAGTAAGGGACCCTACTAAGGGACCATATGGCTCCAACCCTAAACCCTAAACTGAACCCTAAACCCTAAACCCTAAACCCTAAACCCTAAGCCCTAAGCCCTAGACCCTAAACCCTAAACCCGACACCGTAAACCCTAAACCATACTAAGGGACCATATGGCTCCAACCTTACACCCCCGAGGGCCCGTCCGTAGAACCGGACAGCGTTCGGGAGGTGCCTTGGTATATCTGGGGGAGGCCCTAGAATCGGCTCGGTTTAGGGTTTAGGGTTTAGGGTTTAGGGTTTAGGGTTTAGGGTTTAGGGTTTAGGGTTTAGGGTTTAGGGTTTAGGGTTTAGGGTTTAGGGTTTAGGGTTTAGGGTTTAGGGTTTAGGGTTTAGGTTTAGGGTTTAGGGTTTAGGGTTTAGAGTTTAGGGTTTAGGGTTTAGGGTTTAGGGTTCAGGGTTCAGGGTTCAGGGTTTAGGGTTTAGGGTTTAGGGTTTAGGGTTTAGGGTCCAGGGTTCGGGGCACCCATAATACCCCCAAGATATCATCAGGCCAGAAAAAGGAGCTTTTTTGGGAAAGCTGTGACTGGAGGAAAGGCTTCTCTGTGAAGCCTTTACAAAGGCTCAGGGTTTAGGGGCCCAGATGCAGGGTCTCCAGTGTTTAGGTGGTTTAGGGTTTTGCGTTTCTGCGGTAGGCTTCGGAGGTCATCAAGGTTCAGGGTTCAGGTTTTAGGGTCTGTGTCCCTGGCATACGAGGGAAGGGTTATGGGACCAGCTTCAGTTTTGTAGCAGGGATCCTGTATCCTAACCTAAACCGTATAGCCCTAAACCCTACAAACTCTAAACCGTAAACCCTACAAATGCTGAACTACCCCCTCCAAGTCCTAAACCCTATACCCCCCCAAATCCTAATCCCTAAACCCTTAAATTCCGCAGATTTAGGGCCTAAACCCTACAAATTCTGAACCCCAAACCCTAAACCCCAAATCCGAAACCCTAAACCCTTAAACTCCGGAGATTCTGGACCTTGAGCCTCTCAATTCCTCTGCGCCGGGCCACGCACCGGCGCCGGCGCCCAAGGGAACGAGGCCGCCATCCAGCCCCAAAGTGAAAAGGAACATCCCGACCTTCGGAGGGTTTAGGGTTTAGGGTTTAGGGTTGAGGGTTATGGTTTAGGGTTTAGGGTATATATGGTTTAGGTCCTGGGGTTTATGATTGCATCTTTGGGGGGATGTTGGGGGGTAGGGTTTAGGTTCAGGGTTCAGGTTCAGGCTTCAGGGTTCAGGGTTTAGGGTGAAAAGGAACATGCCCCGACCTGGGGGGGTGGGGTTTCGGGCTTCGTGTTTTTTGAGGTTTGGGGCTTGGGGTGCATCTTGGATTGGGCAGGGATGCAGAGCCCCTTGAGGGCTAAGGGTTCGGGGTTCCGGGTTTCTGGGGTTTAGGTTTAGGGTTTTAGGGTTTCTAGGGTTTAGGGTTTAGGGTTTAGGGTTTAGGGTTTAGGGTTTAGGGGTTGAGGGTGTTCTGGGCGTTTAGGGGGTTAGGGGTTTCGGATTTAGGGGTCTGAGGCTTGCGGCAAATCACTCGGCCGTGAGACACTTGTCAGCCCCACCCAGCCCAGCCTGAAACAGTTCTAAGCCCCCGCGTCCCCCCCCTACCCCCCAACAAAAAACACACGTGTACACGTACAATAGCTTAGGTTCGAGGTCCGTTGGGAGAAAGGGGGGGGGGGAGACATTTACTCCCCCAAGCCCTAAACCCTAAACCCTAAACCCTACAAACCCCCAACATTGCTCAAAACTGTCCGAACCAAGGAGCCAAACAGCACAGGAGTCCCGTCAGTGTCACCAGAAAGTTTTGGAGCCTTTCCTGGGCCAGAGGTTCTTGGTAGCCCTGTAGCCATCTATGAGAGTAAGGGCACCAATTTTTAGTGTTTTGGGTTTAGGGTTTAGGGGTTAGGGTTCAGGGTCTGCTATCTCCAGTTTATGGTCTGACAACTTTAAGTTCTGATAGCATATACTGCCTATGGCCGCAAAAGGGGGCAGCATATGAATCTCCCTAAACACTAAAGCCTTAGAAGTAGTGTAACATGATTGAGCTAAACCCTAAACCCTAAACCCTAAACCCTAAACCCTAAACCCTAAACCCCCCCAACCCCTAGAGACTAGTGGTTGCATTTGCAAGATTGCAGGCCTCAGCTCTCAAGCCACTTCGGCTTTTGGGCTGTGTTTGGCAAGAAAACCAAAAGCCCCAAGACACCTTAAGCCCTACAGGGTGGGGCCCCCTTACTATACTAACTGTAGTTAAGGGACTTATAACCTAACTTAGGGTCCTTATAACCCAATTTAGGGCCCTTCTAACTCTGCTTATAACTAGGGGGCCCCACCCTGTAAGCCCTAAGAAAACAGCCCCAAGAGAACCAAAAGCCCTAAGACACCCTAAGCCCTAACAAGCCCCTCCAGAAGCCGTAGCCCCCTCCACGAGGGTTTCGGATTTACGCCTCTAGGATGGCCCATAAAGCCCTCTGAAGAATACAACTAAACCCTAAACCCTAAACCCTAAACCCTAAACCCGAAACCCTAAACCCTAACCCTCTTAAGCCCACTTAGGGAAACTAGAAAATGCCCCAAGGGCCTACCCAGAATTTCAGAGTTTCGGGTCAAAAAAGGCCGCTGTGCAGCCGGGGCTCCCGAAGCAGCAGGAGGACCTCTGGTGCCAGGGCTCTCTAAAAACCCGGGTTTAGGGTTTAGGGCTTAGGGTTTATAAGGGTTTAGGGTTCAGGGTTTAGGGTTAAGCGTTTAGGGTTCAGGAGTTTAGGAGTTTAGGAGCTTAGGGGTTTAGGGTTTCGGACACCACAGATCCGATGAACCCTATAAGCCCTTTAAACCCCATACAAGCCCGATAAAACCCTAAGCAAACAACACTGGAAACGAATACAAAGAAACCATAAAGCCTACAAGCGCTATCATCAATCCTCTACTAGTACGACCGAAGCTTGGTAAGACCGAAGCTTTTTACCCTTCTTGAGGCCTAGCATTGAGTGTAAGGTTTGGGGTTGAGGGATTTCACGCGCTGAGGGCCTTTAGTTGGGATGCCTGAGTGCAGAAGGGCTGGGCTCAGATACCCGAAGTAGCCCCCAAGAAGCTTGGGGGTTCCATGGCGGTTTAGGGTTTAGGGTTTACAGTAGGGTTTGGGGTTTAGGGTTTATGGTTTCGGGTTTAGGCACACATGCTACTGCCTGACTGACGAGGTGCGTCGAGTTTGCGCAGAAACTGGCGCAGCCGGAAGTCATTTTGAACAAGCCTTTCTAAGGGGTTTAGGGTTTAGGGTTTAGGGTTTAGGGTCCTTCAGTTTCACAAGGGAACGAACATAAGCAGATAAGCGTGGCGAGGAAGGGCCCGAACTGAAGAAAAACAAACCATATGGTCAGTGCTTGCCGCTACGTCCAGTACCAAGCCTTCTATGAAGTACTTGGAGGTTCAGGGTACCTATAACCCCAATTATGGCTGTACTTGTAAGCCCCCTAAGTCCCCTAAGTAGCTTATAGGTAGACTTATAATTGTTGCTATATGTACCCATGAACCTCCAAGTAGAAGAAGCACATCAGCCATGTCTGGCACAAAGCATGCGATCAAGGAAGGGATGTATATACTAGGAATGGCTGGGGTATAGAGGAAATATGGGGGATTCCGAAATCAGGGGTCCTTCTTGGGTTCCTGAAGGAATCTTACTATTTGCGGGTCTATATTCAGGGTTTAGGGTTTAGGGTTTAGGGTTTCGTAAACCCCCATATCGAAGAATCTTCTCAAGTCGCCCTAAGAGCTGCAGGATGAGCTTAGGGTTTAGGGTTTAGGGTTTAGGGTTTAGGGTTTAGGGTTTAGGGTTTAGGGTTGCTAGCCCAGGGGCAAGCAGCAGGAAGCCTGCTAGGGGCAGCACTGCCCGGCAAGCTTCAACGCACGCGGAGATCACCTCCAAGGAAGGAGGTGGCACAATAGACCCTCAACCCTCAACCCTACACCTTAAACCCGAAACCCTAAACCCCCTAAGCCTTATGATGCCGGGTGGGTTGAGTCTACATGACCCATGCTCTGTTGAGCTGTCGCCCGGCTTTCCTATTGCCTCTCTGGCTTAGGCACTTGGAGTTTCAGGGTACTGATAACCCCAGTTACAAGTGTACTTATAAGCCCTTTAAGTCCCCTAAGTAGGTTATAAGTAGATTTCTAATTGTGGTTATAAGTACCCATGAACCTCCAAGTAGGGTTGAGGGGCTTCCCCGCTACCCGCCCAAACTTCCCCCGAAGATTGCTGGGAATGAGCTTCGAAGCCATCATCCCCTGCCAAGCCACCTACCCTAAACCCCAAACCCCAAACCCCAAACCCCAAACCCCAAACCCCAAACCCCAAACCCCAAACCCCAAACCCCAAACCCCAAACCCCAAACCCCAAACCCTAAACCCTAAACCCTAAACCCTAGCCCTAGAGCCCTGAAGCCACGAATGTCGTCTGAGGGCTCCAAGTTTGGGCGTGAAACCCAAGGGCTCCAAACTCTGAGACCCCTCAACCCAAAACCCTAAACCCTGAACCCGAACCCTAAACCCTAAACCCTGAACCCGAAACCCGAAACCCCAAACCCTGGGACCCCTCTAAAGTCCTGAAACCCAAAAGGCCCTCAATTTGGGAGACATCGATGGAAAGCTCTGAAGACACCGAAACAATGCAAAAACATTACCCGGGAACGCTACACTCCAAACCCCAAACTAACCCAGCACCTTTGCTCTGAGAGGGCCTAGGCAAACCAAAGCTCGCAACCCTAAACCTAACACCCTAAACCCTAAACCCCAAACCCTACACCCTGTAAACCCTAAAAACCCAAACGCCCTAAACGCCCTAAACACCCTAAACACCCTCAACACCCTCAACACCCTAAACCCTAAACCCTAAACCCTAAACCCGAAACCCTAAACCCTAAACCCTAACCGTGGTGCAGCCAAGGTGCATCCACCTGTGGTTGGACGTCTCCGATCCTGGCGACTCAGGGCTTCTGACATAAAAGGAGTGGGGTTTAGGGTTTAGGGTTTAGGGTTTAGGGTTTAGGGTTTAGGGTTCAGGGTGTAGAATTTAGGGTTTATTGTTTAGGGTTTAGGGTTTAGGGTGTAGGGTTTAGGGTTTCGGGGTAGGGTTGCGGGCTTAAGGCTTAGGGTTTAGACTCCCAACCCGAGTTCCCCAAGGCCCTAAACCCTATATGATCAGTTCTCGTCTTCTCGACGTCATGGTTGGCAAAACCCTAAACCCTAAACCCTAAACCCTAAACCCTAAACCCTAAACCCTAAACCCTAAACCCTAAACCTCGAACCCTAAACCCTAAACCCTAAACAACCCAAGGTGGTACCCTTGGGTTTGGGGACCCTTCGGAAAGCTTCTCCAAGGTACTATAAGGGCCATCCAGGGAGTGCATTAAGGGAGACTTCAAGGGGTTTAGGGTTTAGGGTTTAGGGTTGAGGGTTCAGGGTTTAGGGTTTAGGGGTTAGGGGGTACAAGTCTTAACCCCTTGACATACTACCACCTTGGGGACCAAATGAAGCCCACAATTGGGGTCACATGACCCATGCTACTCTACTGCTTATTGTGGTAGAGGATATAGGGGCCTGAAGAATAATAACAGTGTTTCGGGGGGATATTGTAGTATGATTCTAAAAGGACCCTAAGGGAAAACTGTTAGTAATTCTTCCGACCCCTACATTGGACCATAAACCCGTTTAGGGTTCATTTTAGTCGCCAAGTACCCTACTTAGGGGACTTAGGGGGCTTATAAGTACAGTTATACTTGGGGTTATATGACAAGTACCCTGAACCTCCAAGTAAACCCGAATTAAACCCTAAACCCTAAACCCTAAGCCCTAAACCCCAAACCCTAAACCCTAAACCCTAAGAACCCTATACCCTAAGAACCCGAGGCCCCAAGCTGTCTTCTCCTTTCCTGGCCGAGCGGCCCCACCTTTCCTGGTGGGATGAGCGGCGCGAACGCGTCATCCTCAGAGCCCCAGCGCGTCGGGGCTTGGGGTGTGTCAACCCTAAACCCTAAACCCTAAGCCCTAAACCCTAAACCCTCAACCCCAAGCCCTAAGCCCTAAACCCTAAACCTAAGCCCTCAACCCTAAACCCTAAACCCCAAACCTTACACCCTAAAGGGCCCTAAACCCTAAAAGGAGAGGGGGGCTTCGGGGGTTGCAAGGAAGCCCCACCCCACACTACTAAGTGTAGATCGGGGACGTATACATAATGCCGAAGTGTAAAAACTTCCACCCTAAGTGTTTAGGGTTTTGTGTTTAGGGTTAGGGTTTATATGCCCTTCCCCTGAATCGGGGTTGATTTGAACTATGGCCTTTTTTGGGTAGTAGCCTAAGCTACAGCAAACATGCCGTAAGACTATCTTCACAAGGCCTGGGGCGTAAGACTCCTACGCCCTACGCCCTGAACCCCCCTAAATCGCGAACAAACCCTAAACCCCAAACCCCAAACTCTAAACCCTAAACCCGAAACCCTAAACCCTAAAACCCTAAACCCTAAACCCTAAACCGAGGCCCAGCAGCGAAGGGGTCAATCGTGACGGAGCGGCCACCAAAGGCCCAGCCAATGGCCCAAACACCTGAGATCGCTTTAGGAAGTAGGGTTTAGGGTTTAGGGTTTAAGGTTTAGGGTTTAGGGCTTAGGGTTTGGGGTGTAGGGTTTAGGGTTTAGGGAGGGCTTCAGCCCCAGGGTTTTGGGTTTTTGGGTTTCGGGGTTTTGGGGTTTGGGGTTTTGCGGTTTTGGGGTTTTGGGCTTTTGAGGTTTGGGGTTTTGGTTGCTGTTCTGGGGTTAGGGTTTCAGGGCTTCAAGGCCTTTACAGCCTTAGGGCTTTTAACCCTAATAACTAAACCTAAACCCTAAACCCTAAACCCTAAACTTTCAGGGCTCAGGCTCAGCCGGATCTTTCGGGCTTCAGGGTCTTTAGGGGGATAGGATTAGGGGGGACCCTTGGGGATATAGACCCTCTGAATAAGGCCCCTGTTTAAGAGATCCAGAAGACTACTACTTGCTTAAGAAGCCCCCCCCCCCCGACAAAAAACACAAAAATAGTAACCCCTAGATTCCCCTGAAAAACCAAAACCCTGAACCCTGAACCCTGAACCCTGAACCCTGAACCCCAAACCCTAAACCCTAAACCCTAAACCCTAAACCCTAAACCCTAAACAACCTTCTTTCAACTCGCGAGCGCTTCGGCATCCTTTAGAGCTGAGGGTTTAGGCCCTAAACCGGGTTTTTAGGGTTTAGGGTTGAGGGAAAATTCTAGCCCTAAACCCTAAACCCTAAACCCTAAACCCTAAACCCTAAACCCTAAAGGTGTCCAGGCATCAGGGCTCAAAGCCTGGGAGCCATGTTAGCAACGACTTAGGGTGGCAGACCTTTCGGGTTGACTACTATGTGCTGAAGAACCCCAACAAATGATAGATAACAATCCCCATACTACCCTTATAAGGACGAACACTTTGATTTTAAGAGAATCCCGAAAAAAAAACCCTGAAAAGGAAGAATATTTTGATTTTTTGGGGGTGCTTAAGCAAGTAGTAGTTAGGGCTCTCCGCCAGAGTTTCTCCACATCTGCAGGACAACAATGCGAGAGAACAAGCTGACAATAATAACAGTTATAAAGGGTTTTCGGGCCAGGGTTTAGGGTTTGGGGTTTGGGGTTTGGGGTTTGGGGTTTGGGGTTTAGGGTTTAGGGTTTAGGGTTAGCTTAGGTTGGCTTAAGAATGACACTTCTCGCAAAAGTAACACAGGCTCCCAAAACCTTGGAAAATTGCACTGGAGCCCTATACCCCAAATCCTAAACCCCTAGTCCGAGCACCTGTTAAATTAAGCCCCCCATATTTAAAGAAATTTCTTTTCTCCGGAAGCCCGCCGGAAGACTACTTTCCATTACGGTGGATTTGGTATGGACATAACCCCCCACATTTAAAGATTTTTGTTGGGGGGTTTGCAAAATCTGATCGTAGGCCTTTTTTGTGTCTTCGGACCTGCAATTTCGATCTGTGAAACATCTGTGAAGCTAGAGAGTCAATACTTTGTTATTCCGTTTTAATAGAGGTTCTATACATTCCTATTGTTTTCAATACACTCTTATTGTTTTTAATAGAGAATCAATACAGGGCCATGGTCCAACTATTGCGGAACCCTGCATTCCTTATTGTGGGGGGGGGGGGGGGCCCACCAATTAAACAAGAGCTCGGATTAGACCTGACCCTAAAGAAGAAAACTCCGGACAACAAACCAAATCAACAAAACAAAAACGCGCAAACCACTAGAAAGCCGGGGGTTCGCAAAGCCCACATCGCCAAGTGGATCATGCCGTCCACGCGGCTGAAGACAGGGAAGAGCGACGCAAATGTCACAATCCCGAATCCGGACAAGCTCCTTGCTGTTGGGTTGAGGGCTTAAGGGCTTTTTGGTTTTTAGGATTCATAGGGTATAGGGCTTGCAAGGTATGCAAGCACGCAAGTGAAAACCTCGTGTGCTGCGGGCAGCTAAGAGGCTGCAGCTGAGAGGATATAGGGAGTGCCAGCGCGACCCCATATACCCTAGAATGTACTCTAAATCCTAGACCTTAACTAATAAACCCTAAACTCTAAACCCTGAACCCTAACCTCTAAACTCTACACCCTAAGCCCAGGATCCTGAGCCCCAAGCCCTTAAAGCACAAGAAGAATCCACATGTTGCTGTTGAAAGAGGACTTTCATAAGGGAACCTGTTTCCCTTTGGAAATCAGGTTTGGGGTTTACAGGAAAGCCGCGAACCGAACCGCAAACCGGAACCGAACCGCCAGGAACCGCACGCACGAAGGAACCGTGTGAACCGTGAACCGCCGAAACCGCGACAAAAAAGACCGCCGTGGAACCGAGGGCCTCCAGCCTCCAGCCCTCCAGCCTCCAGCCCTCCAGCTCCCCCCCTCCAGCCCCTCCATCCCCTTCAGCCCCTCCAGCCCCTCCTTTCATGGAGAGGGGTTGGAGAGGGGCTGGGCCGGGCTGGTGGAGGGTGGAAAGAAACTGGAATGGGCTGGAGGGGCTGGAGGGGCTGGAGGAGGCTGGAGGGGCTGGAGGGGTTGGAGGGGCTGGAGGGGGCTGAGGGGGAGGTGGGCTGGAGGGGCTGGAGGGGCTGGAGGGGCTGGAGGGGCTGGAGGGGCTGGAGGGGCTGGAGGGGCTGGAGGGCGCTGGGGGCTGGCGGGGCTGGAGGGGCTGGAGGGGCTGGAGGGGCTGGAGGGGCTTGAGGCTGCAAAACTTAGAGAAAAAAACCGGCAGGCTGGAGGGAGGGGCGGGTGGAGGGGCTGGAGGTGGAGGGAGGGGTGGGGGACCCGAACCGAACCGAACCGCAAACCGCAGCGAACCGCTTGAACCGGAACCGTTCCAGAGTATGTACCCCAAAACCGAACCGAACCCACACGAACCGTGGCCTTACTGGGTTTAGGGGTTAGGGTTTAGGGTTTAGGGTTGGTGGGTGGAGAATTGGTCGGGATTTGGAGGCTAACGGGTTTAAGGAAGGGCTCGGGGTTTGGAGTTTAGGATTTAGGGTTCAGAGTTTAGGGTTGAGAGCTAAAGGTTTAGGGTTTAGAGCCGAGGGCTTAGACCGTAAACCCTATAAACCCTAAACCCTAAACGCTGAATCCTAAACCCTAAACCCTAAACCCTAAACCCTAAACCCTAAACCCTAAACCCTAAACCCTAAACCCTAAACCCTAAACCCTAAACCCTAAACCCTTAACGGACGGGTGCCACCCTCCCTGCCGGGTGGCGGCTCGTCCACGGAAGCTGTTGAGTCACGCGATGTGCCGGCGATGCCAATACCTTGGGACTAGATTGACTAGATGGAAGTTGGCAAGGGCTTCGGGTTTAGGGTTTAGGGTTTAGGGCTAGGGTTTGGGGTTTAGGGTTTAGGGTTAAGGGTTAACGGTTTAGGATTTAGGGTTAGGGTTTAATGAGGTTTAGGGTGTAAATAGGGTTTAGGTTTTACAGGTTACTCCACGAGTCGGCTTTGTGTTTTGAAACCATGGTATCCCAACCTTAGAACCGGGACGGTCAGGGCCTTGAAGCAGCTAGGTCTCTGCAGTATCCGATGCCGAACTCAGAGTTCATTTCAAGGGCATGGTTGGGACAGTATGAACAATCCATCAAGTTTCTAGTCCTTCTTGAGTTTAAGTGCCCTTAAAAGTGTAAAATGCTACCCCACTATGACAAAAACTCCAAACCCTAAACCCTAAACCTTAAACCCTAAACCCTAAACCCTAAACCCTAAACCCTAAGGAAACCCCCCCCCCATGTTGTACCCAAGGTACCCAAAGCCAGGACGATGGGTACCGTGACGGGGCCTGGCAAATGCTGGGGTGGAGATCCCAAGGCGCAAGGTTTAGGGTTTAGGGTTTAGGGTTTAGGATTTAGGGTTTAGGGTTAGGGTTTGGTGGCCAGGACTTTGTTTTTTTTTGAAAGGGGGTTAGGGGTTAATTAGAAATTGAATGTAATTATAAATTTGGGGTCTGCGAAATTAGGGGTACCTTATTGGGCTCCTTTATCGTAAGGGGGGGTCTATATGATGGGTCCCTTACTATCCATTTCTGTATCAGTACATGTATGTATTATATGATCTATGTTTCGGTAACTTCGTTCGTCCTTGACACCAACACTGAAGCCCACCTTGCGAAACAAACTCTCCGCAATCCCGAAAACCCTCAGCCCCAATGGCAGCCCAGCCTAGAGTAGCCTATGCACTCTTCAAAATGTACTCTAAACACTATCAACCCTGAACCCTAAACCCTAAACCCCAGAGTGTAGCCCCTGTCCGGTACTTGGGGCATGGCCAGTCGTCACGGCGCCGCAATCCCAGGCTAGGCCGCTGATTTCCGGGAAGGTGCCGCCCTCGCTGACGCAGAAGAGGGTCCTTGCGGCTTACTTCGGCTTCAGCCCTCTAAAGGTTTGAGGCCAATTTCGGGTTTAGGGTTTAGGGTTTGGGGTTTAGGGTTTAGGGTTTAGGGTGCCTTGGAGCTTCTTCCGGTTCCTTTGGGGGCCAAATGAACCCCATAACTTGGCGCCATGAGGTTTTTATTCGGTTACCCTATGCTACAATAATCCCTGTTCAGGTATATGGAGCGCAAATCCTAAACCCTAAACCCTAAACCCTGTTCGGGCGCATTTAGTCCCCAAGGTGTCAGCGCATTCGAAGGCTTCTGGGGCCAATAGGGTTGAGGTCTCTAGGTTTGGCTGTTAAGGGCCGTTTGGGTTTAGGGTTTAGGGTTTAGGGTTTGGGGTTTGGGGTTTGGTGTTTTGGGGTTTGGGTTGAGGAATTATGTCTACAGGGTGGGGCCCCCTTACTATACTAACTGTAGTTAAGGGACTTATAACCTAACTTAGGGTCCTTATAACCCAATTTAGGGCCCTTACAACTCTACTTATAACTAGGGGGCCCCACCCTGTAGGGTTTAGGGTTTTGTAGGGTTTTGTAGGGTTTTGTAGGGTTTTGGGTTTGTGGTCTCGAGAGCTAGGGCCGATACTGTAGGGTGTCGGGATTAGGGGCTTGGGGCTTCTTTAGGTTTAGGGTTTAGGGTTTAGGGTTTAGGGTTTAGGGCTTTTGTGACATGGGGTCTTGGGGGCTTGAGGCTCGGGCTTGCTATGTCAAAGAACGGGCCAGCAAGATGCACTTGCAACATGAGGGGTTCAGGTTTCAGGGTGTTTAAAGCCCTAAACCCTAAACCCTAAACCCTAAACCCTAAACCCTAAACCCTAAACCTTAAGCGCTCGTGGCGTTTCAGGCAGCGCAATCCCTCAACCCCTCAACCTCTGACCACCTGCTGGGTTTGGGTTGAAGGGTTATAGAGTTTATGGGCCTTGCGGGGTTTTGCGGTTTGGGGACTGAGGACTTAGGGTTTAGGAGTTACAGAGCTTAAAGGGTTTAGGCATTTAGGGTTTAGGGTTTAGGGTTTAGGGCTTTGGGTTTAGGGTTTAGGGTTTAGGGTTTAGGGTTTAGGGTTTAGGGTTTAGGGTTTAGGGTTTAGGTTTGGTGCTGCCACGGGTCAAGGCCAGAGTGGGAAACACCGTAGCAAAGATGCAGCGCTTGATGCTCCTGAGTTGTGCTTTATAACCAATGGGATGTTCCCTATACTAACAGTCCGTAGGGGTTCAGGGTTTAGGGTTTAGGGTTTAGGGTTTAGGGTTCAGGGTTTGGGATGTTCCCCTCCTTAGTAGGGATGATAATCGGGGGTACTATAATTCCTATTAAGGACTGTTCGTTTGAAGGGGAACATCCCAATTTCAGCCCTTTGAGCATGATCTATGAACAGGTTCACCTTATAAGAAAAGAAAGGAATGCAAAGATTCTCCAAAAGCACAACCCAGGCTCAGGTCGTAGAGTAGGCGCACGCAGCCGAAGACGGCCGCACAGCCCACGCCCACCCCAACGCCCAGCATCAGTATGAAGGGCTGGGCCTTGTTTGGAGTTTGGGGCTTAGAGGGCTTGCAGGGCTTATAAGGTGTTAGGGCTTGTAGGGCGAAAGAAATTTTGGGGCTTGGGGGTTTCAAGTTGAAGGGTTTGGGGTTTGGGGCACCGTCTCCACTCCAAGGCGAGACGAGAGAACGCTGCGGTTCCTGGCGGTTTAGGGTTTACAGGGTTTAGGGACCCAAAACCCTAAACCCTAAACCCTGAACCCTAAAACAAGCCCAGTAGCAAGGATCCGCCTCAGAAGCGGTGCCCGATCCTCGTCGGTATCCTGGGTTGCCGTTCAGGAACTTAAGCCCCCCCCCCCCAAACAAAAACAAGTAGAGTTTAGGGCTTAGAGTTTAATTCGGGTTTAGGGGCTTTAGGGTTTAGGGTAATTATAGCTTACGGTTCAGGCTTAGGGACTTTATCGGGTTTTGGTTTAGAGACCAGGCTGCTTTCTCTACAGCCTCGTTATGGTAAGCCTGAACCAAATCGACCCTACTATGGCAACTACCCTAAACCCTAAGCCCTAAACCCTAAACCCTAAACCCTAGCCCTAAACCCTAAACCCTTAACAGCAACCCAGGATCCTGTCCCGCAGCTTCGAGAGTGCCGATTGCAGGCTCGGCAATGGTGCACCTCAGAAGGGCTTTAGGGTTTAGGGTCTAGGGTTTAGGGTTTAGGGTTTCGGGTTTAGGGCTAGGGTTTAGGGTTAGGGTTTAGGGTTTAGGGTTTAGGGTTTAGGGCCTAGGGTTTAGGGTTTAGGGTTTCGGGTCTAGGGTTTAGGGTTTAGGGTTTAGAGTTTAGGGTTAGGGTTTAGGGTGTAGGGTTTAGGGTTTAGGGTTTAGTGTTTAGGGTTTAGGGTTTAGGCTTAGGGTTAAGGGTTTTCCAAAGACCCTAAAACCTCACAAAGAGCACTCATCCGCTTCAGCCCGAAACCCTAAACTCTAAATCCCAAACCCCAAGCCCTAAATCTTCAACCCTAAGCCCTAAACCCTACACTACTAAACCCTGACCCCCCCCCCCCCTTGTCACCTCAACCGCCCGGAAACCCTAAACCCTAAACCCTAAACCCTAAACCCTAAACCCTACACCCTAAGCCAAAGAGCAGGATGCCAAGGCAAAAGACAGTCACGAACACCAGCACCTTCGGCGCTGACTGAGGCAGGCTGGTGCCGACCTGCAGGCCCCAAACCCTAAACCCTAAACCCTAAATCCGAAACCCTAAACCCTAAACCCGAAACCCTAAACCCTAAATCCTAAACCCTTAAAACCCTAGTCATCTAGGGTTTTAGGGCTTTGGGGGCTTAGAAGGCTGAGTTTCAGGGTTTCGAGCCTGGGCTTACATGTGCTTTGGAGCATGAACTAGGGTGTAAGGCGCAGGGCCTGAGGGCCTGGGGCTTCGAGTGTAGGTCGCAACCCTCAAGCCCTAACCCTAAACCCCAAACCCTAAACCCTGAACTAATCCTAAACCCCTAAACCCCATACCCTAAACCCGAAACGCTAAGTCCTACAGGCCCTCTCCGACCTGTTCCCCCAGCGGCATCAAGCCATGGCGGATTCCCAGGCCGAACATCGTGAGCCCGACGACGGCTAGGAACCTTGGCAGGGCGGGTTTGGGGTTTGGGGTTTGGGGTTTGGGGTTTGGGGTTTGGGGTTTGGGGTTTGGGGTTTGGGGTTTGGGATTTGGGGTTTGGGGTTTAGGGTTTAATTAGGGTTTAGGGTTTAGGGTTTAGGGCTAGGATTTTGGGGCTTCGGGGGCGATGTAGAACTCCAGATGGCTAGACTCTGCTGGGTCTGCTTTTTGAGGAGGGGCTCTTGGCATGTCGAAGTAACTCATCCCAATTCTGCCTCCTGCCATCGCCCAACAAGCTCAGGACCCTGCGCCCCTAGACCCTAAACCCTAAACCCTAAACCCTAAACCCTAAACCCTTGCAAGGTGAGAAACAGGTAGGCCGCCATTGCCAAGGAGAAGAGGTTCACGCGAAGCAGCAGCCGCGCATAGAGGAGGATGAAGAGGGCCAAACAGGACACACTCCAACCTTAGGGTTGAGGGTTTAGGGTTTGGGGTTTAGGGCTAGGGTTTAGGGTTTGGGGTTTAGGGTTTAGGGCTAGGGTTTAGGGTTGAGGGTTTAGGGTCAGGACTTTAGGGCATTTTTTGAAGGGCTTTTGCTTCAGGCCTTTCGGGTTTTGGGGCTTTAGGGGTTTCAGGGTTGAAAGGCCTTCGTAGGGGTGACGTGTCTAGGGTCTTAGGGCTTTAAGAATATTTAGGGTTTAGGGCTAGGGTTTAGGGTTTATATAGGGTTTAGGGTTCAGGGTCTAGGATTGCGGATGCTAAGCCCTAAACCTTAAACCTTATAAGACCTGGTAGGTCGATTTGGGGTTTTGGGGTTTAGAGTTTAGGTTTTGAATAGCGATGGGGGCTTTCTTGGGATTTGGGGCTTAGGGATACAGTAGAGATTGGGGTTTAAGGTTTAGGGTTTAGGGCTAGGGTTTAGGGTTTAGGGCTAGGGTTTCAGGCCAGTCTGTGCACCGCCAAGCGTCAGTTCTCAAAAAACTCCACCAGGACCTGGTGGGAGCTCCCTAAACCCTAAACCCTAAACCCTAAACTCTAAACCCTAAACCCTAAACCCTAAACCCTAAACCCTAAACCCTATACCTAAACCCTAAACCTTAAACCCTAAACCCTAAGCTGTGCGACTGCCACCTCGCCCGAAACCCTCAAAGTTTAGGCTCTGGGGCCTACTCATATGAACTATATGGACATTTCTCAACATAAGCTAGAGGCCCAGGGTTTTGGGTACATTAAATACACACACACACACAAACACACACAAACACACACAAACACACACAAACACACACAAACACACACAAACACACACACACACACACACACACACACACAAAATTTCACACAATACCAGAATCTTTCTGATCGGAACCCCCGACAAGGGTGCCCCGAATTTGGGCAAACCTGCTGCCCCACCTCCGCTCCCCCCACCCCGGCATCTAAAGCTCTTCGAAGGTTATCCACTAGCCCTACACACCCATTAGACACCTCCTGTAGGGTTTAAGGTCATGTGACAAAATCTATCTATCTATCTGTAGATGCATATGTTGCTTGTGCTATGTTTTCTAAAACCCTGGAAACCCTAATGCCCGAAAACCCAAAAGCCCCAAACCACCTACCCCCTATAACCCCTAAAGCCCCCTGTAAGAACCCGCAAAATCCAAAAACCCTAAACTTGGTAGCCCAGTAACCATGTTATTACAATGAGGGCACCCTTTTTGGTGGTTGGTTATTCATTAAGGGAACCCATAGCCAAAAAACAAAACAAGGTAAAGGGTACCACTGGGCTACCACCCTAAACCCTAAACCCTAAACCCCAAATCCCTAAACCCTAACCCCTAAACCCTAAACCCTAAAGCCCTAAGCCCTAAAGCCCTAAAGCCCTAAGCCAAGGGCGCCTGCCGTGTGAGCGGCACAGAGTTAATGCTGGCAACCGAGTTGGTCGAGAGGAAGCCATCTGGGCTTCGGATCGGCATTTTAAGGGGTTTTAAACCCTAAACCCTAAACCCTAAACCCACGTTCATCCTGCAGGTTTTATTGAAGACGCGGTTCAGGGTTTAGGGCTTAGGGTTTAGGGCTTGATGTTCCAAAGATCAGGCTTCTTTTTGGGGGGTCTAGGGTTTTTAGCTTCTGGCCCACCCTAACCCTAAACCCTAAACCCTAAACCCTAAACCCTAAACCCTAAACCCTAAACCCTAAACCCTAAATCTTGAAAACCCCTAAGCCCTAAACCGTCTCTCCCTGGCTGCCTGAGCTGTGGCGCCTGCGTGGCATGGGAACTCAGAGCACCAGCGCCATCTCGCATACTTTCTGAAGGGTTGAGGGCTTTTAGGGTTTTAGGGGCTTAGGGTTTAGGGTTTAGGGCTAGGGTTTAGGGTTTAGGGTTTAGGGTTTAGGGTTTAGGGTTTAGGGTTTAGGGTTTAGGGTTTAGGGTTTAGGGTTTAGGGTTTAGGGTTTAGGGTTTAGGGTTGAGGGTTGAGGGGTTGAGGGGTTGAGGGGTTGAAGGTTTTGGAGTTGCTCTACACCACGGATCTTCCTGAGTCTCTACAGTGGTATATGTTGCTGGTAGTTGCTTTAGGGTTTGTCTTGAGGGCTTTGCGCGACTAGGGTGTGGCGGTTTAGGGTTTAGGGTTTAGGGTTTAGGGTTTAGGGTTTAGAGTTTAGAGTTTAGAGTTTAGAGTTTAGAGTTTAGGATCCAGGGTTCTGCCCGAAAGCTCCGCAAGCTGTGGTAGATCAGGGCGCTACAAGTCTTTGTAGTTATAAGCAGAGACATAAGAGCCAGGCATTGGGTTAATTATAAGATAAGTACAGCTTGTATGGCAAAGGGGGCCCCTCCTTGTGAGACGTGCTACTGTCTGAGTTGTGCTGCTGCACGTGCAGAGGCCGACGGAACCTACAGAAGCAAAACTGAAACCTACGCAAACCCCAAACCCTAGACAAGATCTTGTGTGCAGCACGCTAGGGTCTAGGGTCTAGGGTTTAGGGTTTAGGGTCTAGGGTTTAGGGTTTAGGGTCTAGGGTCTAGGTAGGGTCTGGGGTCTAGGGGCTAGGGTTTAGGGTTTAGGGTTTAGGGTTAAAACAATATGCAAACCATAAATGCCTGGTTAGACTGTCTGTCTCCATGCGCATGGGGATCCTAACTCCGGGATCTGAAACGTCGCAAAACGGCAGCAGAAGCGCGAGCGGAGGGTTTCATGGCATGGGTTGGGGTGTGAGGGCTTGAGGGTGTAGGGTTTAGGGTTTAGGGTGTGAGGGCTTGAGGGTGTAGGGTTAAGAGGTTGAGGGCATAGGTTGTCCAGAAACTTTGAACCCTAAATCAGCCTGAGAGCCACCTTCCATGCCGAATTGCTTCACAGAAGCCCCCTAACCCCTAAACACTACGCCCCGACCCCCTAAACTTTCTAGACTCTCACTCCCTGAAGCCTAAACCCGAAATCCTAAACTCTAACACCGGAACCTTAGCCATGAAGCCCAAACTCTAAACAGCCAACAGGGTACCCTTTAACCCTAAACCCTAAACCCTAATTTGGAAGAACACCTCCCATGTAGGCACCACATAGGGCTTGAAACTCAGATCGTGGATTCGCTTGTGGTTAGTGTTTAGGGTTTAGGGTTGGTCCAGCGGTTTGCCTGGAGGCTTCTACCTCAACCTGTAAAAAATCTAAGGGTTTCAGGTTTAGGGATTAGGGTAACACCCTTTCTAAGGCTGCCCCTTTTCCAGGGCTAGAATACGATAGGTACCCAGCACGAAGCCGACAAACGTCACACGATCCAGCCTCCTTCCCGACCGAGTTGTCCCACACCTTCAACCCTAAACCCTAAACCCTAAACCCTAAACCCTAAACCCTAAACCCTAAACCCTAAACCCTAAACCCTAAACCCTAAACCCTAAACCCTAAACCCTAAACCCTAAACCCTGCCTGGGCCCTCTACCCGAAACCCTATGTCTCAGGCTTGCACCGCGATGCTGGCAGGGCTGTCATGACGTCAGGAGATCCTGCTAACTCTACATACATCCCTCGACGAAAGTGTAGGCTTGCTTGTTTAGGGTTTAGGGTTTAGGGTTTAGGGGGTAGGGCTTAGGGTTTAGGGCCAAGTTTAGGGTTGAGGGTTGAGGGTTTAGGGTCTAGGGTTTAGGGGTTAGGGTGGGTTCTTCAAATTCTAGGCTTGCTTGGAGGGTTCAGGTTTGGGGTTTGCAGTCAGCTCGGTGCAGTTTCTGTCTTCCAAGATGCCAACGCGAGTGGAAGATGCCAAAGCGATCCCCTCTGCGTGAGTCGTGAGGCGCTATACACTTCTACGAGGTGCTTAGGGGCTGAAAGATGGGTTCAGGCTTTAGGGGCGAAGACAAGGTTTAGGGTTTGGGGTTTAGGGCTTAGGGTTTTAGGGGTTTAGGGTTTAAGGAACTGAAGACTGGCGGGGTAAGAATGTTGGGGTTTAAGGGCTTAAGGATTTTTGGTTGAGGGTTTGAGGGTATTGGGCTGAGTAGCTGAGGGCTAAGCAAAAGATGGCGGCCACTCACTTCACGAGGTAATCACGCCCACAATCGTCCTTGGCGGGGCGGACCCAAACAAACCTTAATCCCCAAACCTCGAATCCGAATTGAACCCAAACCTAAACCCCAAACCCTGAACAGAGGAGCAGCAGATTCCCCACAAGGTGTGGGCATTTGGCACATGAAGCGGGACTCCTTATAGGTAACTTCTAAAGAGCGCCCCTCCAGAGTATAAGGGTTGAGGGTTGAAAGCTTAGGGTTTAGCGATCTTCACCCTAAACCCCAAAACCCGAAACCCTAAACCCTAAACCCCAGTCTGTCAAAGACAATGTCTGCGGCTACCAGCTTCCGCTAGCCAAGACCCCAACCGCAAAGATCGCCATCATGACTTCCCGAAGCCCCTAAACCCTAAACCCTAAACCATAAACCCTAAGCCCTATGCCCTAAAACCTGGAAACTAAACACCAAGCCCTAAACCCTAAACCCTAAACACCAAACCATAAACCCTAAACCCCAAACCCCAAACACCAAACCCCAAATCCTGAACTCCAAACCCTAAACCCCAAACCCTAAACCCCAAATCCTAAACTCCAAACCCTAAACCCCAAACCCTGGACCCAAAGGTCCTACGCCGGTAAGTTGAAACAGCTGGGAGCCAAATGGATGATCCCAGTGGCGACGTGAGCTCATTCACCGTGGGGGCTTCAAAGAGCAAAGACGCCTGACACAACGCTTCGGTTTGGGGTTTAGGGTTTAGGGTTAGGGTCTAGGGTGTAGGGTCTAGAGGTTAGGGTAGCCCAGGGAACCCATTTTGGGATCGGTTCCTTTACAAGGGGGACCTAGAACCAACAAAGGGGCAAAAGCGTACCACTGGGCTGCCCAGGCTTCCTTAGGGGCCCAGGTTATACTTGCTAGGGCTTTGGGCTTTTTTTGTTTTAGGGTTTGGGGCTTGGGTGGTTAGGGCTCGGCTTTGTTGGCTTAGGGTTTCGGGCTTCGGGGTTTTGGGTTAGGGCCTGCCTTTCTTGGATTATGGGGTTTAGGGCCAATTTAGAACAATCCCCGCCCCCAATTTGCAGCTTCTTTCAAATGCAAACTCCCTGTTTGGGGTTTCGCGGAATTCGCGCCTCAGGTTTCGGGCTTGTGGTGTCTTAGGTTTCGGGTTTAGGGTTTAGGGCTTGGGGTTTAGGATCCCGGGTCGTGATTTCGGCAGGTGTCCTGCACAAGCGCACCTAAACCCTAAACCCGCCCTAAACCCTAAACCCTAAACCCTAAACCCTAAACCCTAAACCCTAAACCCTAAACCCTAAACCCTAAACCCTAAACCCCTAAACCCCAGAAAAACCCCTGCCATGAATTTAAGGCAGGGCCGCTGGAAGGTCGACTTTGAACTTGTTGGTCAGCTCGTTCCGGAAGGAGACGCTGTTGAGACTGTCCTTGGCTCAGATGGTCACCTTTCTGGGTTTAGGGTTTAGGGTTTAGGGTTTAGGGTTTAGGGTTTAGGGTTCAGGGTTTAGGGTTTAGGGTGCCCCAGGAGTAAGCTAGGAATAAGAAGGGTGCCCTTTTTGCTTTAAGGGGATTATAAGGGAACCCCAGCCTTAAAAAAAGAAAATGAGGGCCTACTGTGGGTCCTAGCTCTATAATATGGCCCCCTTTGGTGGTTACCTTTGTCAGGCGGCCCCTAATATTTAGGGTACAAAATTTGGAGAACTCACCATGTAAAGCGACAATGCACAAGGTTGTGGGTTGCTATGGTTGAAGATAAGGCCTATTGAAGTAGAATGGGGTTTTGGATTTAGGGTTTAGGGTGGCTATGAGAATTCCGTACGGATTCAAAAAGGGCTAGGACCGGAAAATGCAGGCTCCTGTCTTTTGTTCGGATGGGCCGGATTTCTCGTATGAACGAAGTGTAGTTCAGGGGCTGATAACCTACCCTAAACCCTAAACATCTACCAGGCATTCTCGCTCCATTCGCATCACAGAGAGCGCATGCTCGTCACTGAGCTAGTTCTGTCTACACCCAGGCTGCCCAGTAACCTAGGCTTAAAAAAGGGTGCCCTTTTTGTTTGCTTAAAGGTGTTTTGTAAGGGAACCCCTAAACCCCCCAAAAAAAAGGGAATAAGGGTACTACTGGGCATCCTGGAGACACAAAACGTGATTCTTGCCAGCTGCTGAAAAGCCCGCCGATACAAGCAGGTATACCATTGGATGTAAGGATGTGCGTATGTAGAATATATACATGCGTATACTATATATATATATATATATATACAAATATAGATGTTTACTATGTGTAAAATATTAATAAAACACAAAAATCAGGTACAGTAGATAGATAGATAGACAGATTGATAGACAGACCGATAGATAGACAGATCGATAGATAGACAGATCGATAGATAGACGGTTGTTTGACATGTTGTCCTATTCTTCTGATTCAAAAATGCATTGTACATTCCCACTTATTGCCGAAACGTAGAAGCCCTAAACTCCAAACTCTAAGCCCTAAACCCTAATCCCTAATCCCTAAACCCTAAACCCTAAACCCTAAACCCCACTCCCCAAGCTGAGCCCTAAAGCCCAGCGCCCTGAATGCGCCAGGTCGCCATGCCGAGGTCCATGAGAGGCGCGTCCAATTCAACTGAATCCTTGTCAGGGTCAGGGTTTAGGGCTTAGGGTTTAGGGTTTATATAGGGTCTAGGGTTTATATAGGGTTTAGGGTTTAGGGTTTATATAGGGCTTAGGGTTTATATAGGGTTTATATAGGGTTTAGGGTGTAGGGTTA